GCCTTATGTGACTGCTGGTTTGAGGGCTGTCAAGCATGTCCCATGAACAATTACCCCTCAGAATGGCTCCCTTCAGAGCAGGGAGCACGAGGCATTGCAGAGCTGCAGCCTGTGTCTGCCTATTCCCTTTCCAGGTGGGACACGGAGCCGAGCGCAGGCCTGGCTGCCCTGTGCAGGATCGGGAGAGGGCCTGCAAAGCCTGAGCAGGGACAGAGAGGCTCTTCCCCATCTGAGCCAACACGAAACAGGACTGCACCCGAGCAGTAATAACCACTGAGTTACTGCTGTAATGATGCTGAACCATGGGGGAGAGGGGTCCTGCCCAGCAGAACCAGCACAGGGACTTCGGTGTGCTGCTGCAGCTGCTGCCCGTGGCCCTGCAGTGGAGCGGCCGGGACATTTGCATGGCAAGGCCGTTTGTGCATCCGGGATGCCCCGGAGCCCGGGATAGCCTCGGCGAGGTGTTTGTATGACCGAGCAGGTCCGGGACTGCACGTCCCCCCGCGCTGCACAGCGCTGCTCCGGGACGCGGCAGCGCTGACCGAGCAGTCAGCGGCAGAGCCGGGGCGCTCCGGCAGTGCCTGCAAGCCGGCGGGCTGGCTTGTGCCATCTGCCCCGCTGCCGGCGCCCGTTCCCATGTCCTCTACGCACCGTCCCGCCGATGCCGGGTGCAGCCCGGCCCGGCGGGGTGCAGGGGCACGGCGGCCAAGCCGCAGCCCCCGCGGCCAGAGCCCCGCGGCCCCCGGGCCCGGCCGCTGCCCGAGGGCTCCGCCCGCGCTGCCGGACGTGGCCGCCAGGGGTCGCCTGAGACCGCGGGCGCGCGCACGTGCAGTGCCAGGCATCGCCGCCAGGCGGCCTCAGAGCCGAGGGGATCGCGAGTCCCCTCAGGGCGCGGCGGGACCCGCGCGGGTCACTCGGGCCGGAGCCTTGGAAGCCTTCAGGGCCCCTCCGTTAACTCCGAGATCAAAAGGGTTCCCATCAGCCGGTCCAGATCCCGTCCCTGTAACTTCGCGGCAGCAGTGCCCCAGGCACCCCCTGGCCCGGCTCTGAGCACTCGGGGTAGCGATGACTTGGCCCCGCCTGGGCCAGTCTGGCCGCGCCCAGCAACAACCGGCCTTTGCCAGCTGGGAAAGCAATGGACGGGAAATGCTGATGTGCTCAATGGAGGTGGAGAGCTGATCTGAAAAAAGTGAACCATCTTTCAATGAAACATTTTTGGACGAACATAACCCAAGTTCTTGAGCAGTGTGGGAGAGGACTATTTTACCCATGCCAAGGGTCACAACTGCTTCAAGACGTGTGAGACAACAATCAGGAGGGTGGAGGGATGTTGCTTCCTTGAAGATGTTTTCTGCTGAGGAGTGCTCCATCAGTGAAATGTCACCTGCTTCCTCATTCAGTCCCTGTTCTCTTCTCAGGATCCTTTGCCCAGGTAAGCAGGATGGGATATTTGTAAAATATCTCGTTTAGTTCTCAGGGTGTGTCTGAGACAAGTATGAGCCATGCTGTCACAGCTCCTTCCCAGAGCAAACCAAGCAGCTGCCTCCCCCTCAGTGTGCTCACCTGTGTCAGCACCATCCCCTTCAGGGAATGCTCAGCAGAGCTGAGGAGGAACGGGGCTGGCTCGGCCCAGAGCTCCTGTTCACCCTCAGGGAATGGGGAGGCACCTCGGTGATGTGCAGATGTGTCAGTAGTGCCAGAAGCAGGTGGAATTGAGGAGCTGACTGACCAGATGGCGCAATGTGCTGTCACACTCTTCTCTATCCTGGCCAGACAGGCTCTCAGGCATCCTCCTCCCTGGAGGGCACAATCAGGATTAGGCGTTCTTCAAACAATGATTTGGAGCCAGAGGTGTCCTCAGGCTGTTGCAACAGAGGTCTGATAGGTGACCCCAATCTGAAAACACTGTTTTATGTGTAGTGGAGGAACTTTTAGAATGCCTTCAGACCTCTTGGTTCTAAGTCAAGGAGACTATCAGCTGAAAGCAGGCAGGACTACAGGAACAGCTGCACTGAGGAAGAGGGCTGAACACACACTGCATATCTTCCCATCCGGCTCTGGCCCTTCTCAGGCAATATTACTTTTTTTTTCCCCTTTGGCCAGGGTTGGCACAAGGCTGGTACAAAGGCCAAGAACACATTCAAGGTGACTCTTATTCCTAATTTCAGAGGGGATCTGGCTAGAGTACAAGCCACTCAGCAGAGCTGGTTTGCCCTGGGATATTCTATTTCATGCTAACTCAGGCAGCAAAGAACCCTCTTCCTATTTCTAACTCCAGTCAGTGAGGGAGGATCCACTGAGGCTGATGAACTACTGACCAACACTTAAACACCAGTTGATTTCGTGTTTAAGAAACAACTTAAAGACTGGTATTTTGTGGTAGGGAGCTGGCTGTTTGCAAAAATTTCCACTATTAGCACATCAAAGTGATGTTATTTGGCCGGGGAGAATGATTGCTCCAGTGAGAAATATGAGCCAATTCCTCACCTCCACTGCTGCAACCCAGCTTGGCTGTACCCTTGCCATATCCCTGTTTGTTCCTCAGGACCTGGGTGGAGCTATCAAACCACTTCCCACAGACTAACCAAAAAGCTGAGTAACACCACCTAATCCCCTGCATTATCAGATTAAATCTGTTGACATGGGAGTAGAAGGCCAGTGCTTTCACCTTTGTTCATCATGGTCCCCTGCTGCTCCTGAGCCACAGCCAGCACCTCTCAGGTGACCGTCCCAAAAGAATGCAGAACCATTTACCCTCACAACCATGTCCCATCCTGAGTCAGACAGCTCTAGCAAAAGCAGCACCATGCACTTGCTTCATCTATAAACTGCTGGAATTTGCATTCTGGTTGTGAGGAGATTACAGGGGGGAAAATCCTGCAAACAGCTGCTTTTGCTTTTTGATCTCTTGCTGGTTTTACAGTACTTGCATCTCTGTGAAAACAGAGAAAAGGACTCTGTACCTTTATCCTTAAAATATTGTTTCCATTCCCTTCTTGGTTCTTTGTTCTTGATACCACATGATCAAAACCCAAGAGGAACAAGTATCTTCTCCACACCAGTGAGGAATCTGCTCACTTTCAGTTTGTACAAATAATAAAGGATTCAGAAATTCTTCTATGAAACACAGTAGCCAAAATACCTCTTGTTTACAGCAGGGGCTCAACCAACATTGTGCAGTCTCTTGCCTCTGCTCAGGGAGAGGGAGCTTTCTGCTAAGGAGTGCTGTCCTGGCAGCTGCAGCCTTTCTCATCCAAACTGAGCCAGGCCTGGAACTGCTCCATCACCAGCTCCCTGAGACACACGGGTGATGCTACAAGTGCACCTGCCTCTAAATACGCATGTCACACAGAGTGGGCCCTGAAATCCCTTAAGGACAAAGTCCACAGAGGCAAGGGCTGTTCTCATCTGGGACAGGGCAGGCTACCGACTAGTGGTGGAAAAATACAGGACCAACTTCTGGTCCTTCCAAGGCAGACACTTGGTGGGTAAGTCTGACTGAACTGACCTGCAAACTGAGTCACAGTGTGGCTGCAGGGACCCTGCCAGAGGCTGTCCCAGGCACAAAGGGGCTGGAAAGGATCAATGAGGACGAATGCAATGCTGCTGCTCCTTTCCTACACCTGCAAGACCAGACACTGACACCAGCTTACTTTTGTTGTGCCCTAGTGGTGTGTGGCTGGCTGAGTGTAGGATAAAGTCTGACAATCAGAGCTATGGAGAACTTGCCGACATTTTGAGCTCTCAGGGCACAGCAGTTTTGACACACCCCTCTTCTTCTCCATGACAGCACCTCCCTTCCCCTGCCCTCGCCCCTCCAGAAAGATCCAAACTAGACCGGTGTTAATAGCTGAGGTCTTTATTTAAAGTTTTTTATATACAGTAAAATTGCCACAGATAAATCTGCGACAATCAGACAAGACAAATGTAAATCTCTCTCAACAATTAGCAGCTTAAGATCTATAAACTACAGTGTTACGTTCACAAGTGTCATTTCTGTACTTTTCAACCCGTGCAAGTGAGTTTTTCTGGTTTTTTTTTACACTTTTAAAACACACTTACAGCTAAGTCAATTGCCTACGACTATACCACCTGGCATACACAACACAGACACACAGGGTAACTCTTTAGCCACTTCCAGAATTCATTTTAAAACTGGCAAAACTACTCAATCTTGAACCCTTTGTAGCTTGGCTTCTTTTGTTATAATGCCTTTTCTTTTTTTAATTTTAAAAATGCATATTTTCAAAGCTGACAGACAGTGCTTTCCTGCAACACGCATGTAAGTCAGCAGTTCACCTGATCCCACCTAAGCACACATGGGATTGGAATAAACCAATAGAGTAACTGCTGGGAGCATGCTGAATACCCTTGAAATAAACTAATGAGGCTGAGAGAAAAAAAGAACTTTCTAAAAGCTTTAAATTTTTTTTTTTTTTGCATCAAGATTTTCTTTCTTCTTTATATTGAAGGAAATAGGGGAAACATGAACTTCACTTGAACTCTCAAATGTTAATGAGGAGGTGCTGCTCCTGGAACTTACACAGTCCATTATATTTTTCCCTTTTTATGTGCTGAGGCAGTATGTGCTAAACATATCTAAGCAATTTCTGAATCACTTCAACTCCGAATATGAAATGTTTTGGGAAACATTCTGCCACTCAGAGATGGTCACTAAAAAGTTTTTATCTACAAAGGAGGCTATTAAAGGTACTCACACACGCACGCATTCACATCCACAGCAGAAACTGTTCTCTACGCGTCACCCAGAAACACTCCATCAGGAAAGCAAACACAACCATGTACAAGGAAAGGGAGCTTTAAAGCTAGAATCACATTTCCAACAACATCATCATTAAGCTATCAGAAATCATCACAGGCTTTCAAATTGAAGAGGGAGGAAAACCCCAAAATATTCTGCTAGTGCAAAAGGCAAAACACATGGCAGTTGTGTTAGGATATGAGAAGTGGATGCAGCATCATACATGACGTTAGCAGCATCATACATGACGTTACTGCAGACAACTTTCTGGAATGGAAGAAACTGTTGAGAGAGAGAGACAGACACTTTGTCCAGACCCATATGTATATGGCCTTCACCAAAGAGTTCTGAGATGTCAGTTTCTATTAAGCCTGCACCTTCTGGCAAGCTAGCAAATGATACTGAATATGACAGAGTTGAGAAAAGAAATGAAATTAGGATATAAAGAAGAGGGACAACACTTCCTTAAATACTACCGACACTAAATGTCCAGAGCCACTGGTGTTTAACTCCTTCCTGATTTGACCACATGAAAACCTATCTTAAGCAATTGTAGTATGTACAAGACTGAGAAAAAGAGGTACAAAGGCCAGTTTTCAGGAAAAAAAAGGCAACGAAGTATTTCAGTTATGTGCCAAATCAGTTCTTACTGTTATTCACACATTTGTTTCTGAAAAAACCTGGAAAATGGCAAGATGATAGTTAGCCAAGAAATGTGAGTCACTAGAGAAGAGCCTCACCGGAGCCAGCAGCAAGGGAGGGAATGGCCACACACCTCTGCTCTGGCTGTGGCACTGCAGAAAGCACAAGCAGTTTGGGCTTGAGTCAGCTGTAAATGTCAATCTTTGTTTTAATTAGGACAGGAGCAGATTAGTGCACATGGTGACAGAGAGGTGTACTGGGATCCCTGGGGGAAGGGCACCTGAATTTCCTGTGACTACAGAAAAAAAGAACCCTTGGAGGAAGAAAGATGGACAGTGGAGGCCTTGCCTTTGCTGGAAATCAGAAAACGCTCAAGGTATTAACCTTGTTTGAGGGAATTTCTCAGAACCCAGAATCTGTACCATAGCACAATGCCTATGTATGTGTGTATATGTATGTTGTACATGTCTCATACATGCCCACGTATGATTTCAACTGGTTTAGGTCACTTGGGCAACATTTGATTCCTAGAGGGAAGTTGATCCTGGAATGAAGGAAAACAGTAAGATCTAACTAAACACCATAAATGGTTTTGACAGAATCCTGGAGGTTTTTTTTTTAGATTTCATGAAGACAAAAGATGAATCTTGGCACTGTTATGGTGAAAAGGACAACAGTTAAAAATCAGCACAGAATGAACACAGATTCCTTGGACTTGAGGGCTGCCTACCTGTACCAACAGGTCACCAGTAATGGCACATTGTGAAGACTTGGGGCTGCATTTGAAGCTGGCATTCCCTTTTGAGATTTGCACACACAGGTGTCTGCACCAAGTGCTGTCCCTTGTGGCTGAAAAAGAGGATGGCACACTACAGATACAGACACGTAAATAATCTTACCAGAGCCTGACAGGACGAAAACTTTGGTTTCACTTTTCAGGTTTTTTTTTTTTTAATTAGAACTATTTTTGTGATAACCATTCTGTTAAGTGAACTGTTGAGTCAGTACTTCTTTCCTCAAAAGAACTTGTCTTTTCCCTAGGAAGAGATGAACAGAAATTCCTTGCTCTTATCCTGAGGCCAGGAATGAGAGATGACACGCAAACAAAAAATACAAACATAGCATCCTTCACATGTGGAAAAAGGAAAAAAAGCCCTGCATGACAAAAAGGTATGGAAAAAACAGATGTTTTCCATGATGCTGCATCTTTAAGCTCAGGAGGACAGACAAATGGCATATGGACAGTGCTGCATTTGACAGCCTGACACTAGGAACTACTCTCTGCCCTTCTCAGAACTGCTTCAGGACAAGACGGCTCACAATTATTCACGCATTTCTTCATTTAAAAACATCACTTCTTTATTTCAAAGAAAAAAAGTAATGACCCTCCCAACCCCTTCAAAAAAAACCCCAATAATAATAATAATAATTATAATAAAAAATCCTATTAGAAACAATAAGGAAGCACTGAGAGTTTGAGTATTACACTCTTCAAGTATGTTGTTCGGATTTTTTTTAAATCTGTGAATATACATATATTAAAAAAAAACCTTAAAAGTGCGACCAAGGGCTTCTGCTTAAAGAGTATATGTATTTCAAGGACTACTTCAAAATAGTGTAGCACGACTGTGCAGTTACTGTATATGGCATGAGGCTTCCACTCCATATACTCAGCCAAGTTAGCCAGCCTTACAGAAAGTTACTGAAGTCAGGTTAACACAAACGGCGAACCCAGATGCTGAGCTGGGAGAGGGATCCACACGTTGTTGTTTTTCTCTTGTTAAGGAAAGAAACCACTCAATGCATACACTCGGACATGGAATGTGAGCAGACTTCACAGTAAAAGTTTAGTGTTACAGGTTTGCTGTGGTACCATCATTCAAGGCTGTGCACTAGATTGAGCTTTGCTCGTCTTAAGCTAACCACGTTCTCTTCTTCCTGACAGGTTTAGTACAGTAGTTCAAGCCACAATTTAAACTGCCCATTGGTATGCTCCAAATTTCTGTATTTTATTCATTTCTTTTGTACACTTTAAAGAATCTTAAGATTTGCATCCAAAGAGAACCATGCTACATAAAAATTATCCAGGATTCTCACGAAAAGAGTTCTTGAGTAAAATCTAAAAAATACTATTGCAATGCATCTTGCAGAGAAAAAACGTTATTCTAAATGTAAACAAATTCACTCGGACACTTTAAAACTTCAGCAGAGTAGTCGCTGACTAATCTTTGCCACACTTGCTCACCAAGAGCACCAGGAGCGAGCGGCGCAGCCCATTCCTGCCACCATCATCTGGGGGGAGACAAGAATCGTTCCAAGTAGCCGGTGATGGCATCCCAGTGCTTCCACAAAAAGGCAATGAAAACCACTATAAATAAAGTGCTGAACGTCCTATTGCGAGTCTTCATCAGGGGCACAACGCAGTTGGCCACAGTGGAGACAAAGACGAGGAGGACAGCCATGACAGCCAGCAAGATGTTGATGAACTTCCCCAGCAGGTTCCTGGCTGTGGCGTTCTCCAGTCCCTCCAACTGCACCACCTGCTGCTGCTGCTGCTGCAGCTCCATCTTGGAGATGCGCGTCTGGCACGCTTCCAGCGCCTCCTGCGGGCAAGAGCACGTACTGGGTTACTCAAGTTCACATCTGTTACCTCACCAACCAGGCCAAGCCAGGAGCATCCCCTCACCTCACACTGCTCATGCACTGAGCTCCCGCCCTGCTGTGGGAGCAGAGGAAGCAGTGCCATTTCCCATATCTGAGGTGAGAAGCCCCTTGCTGACTGGGCACTGCAGCCTGCAATACCCCAGGTGCCTCATCCACACCCAGAAAGCTTGACATGGAGATGCTAGGCCAGGAAAACCCACAGCTTCTGCCAGAAGGGGGCTACCCAGCCACCTGGTCACTTCAGCTTTTTCAGCAAGAGGCCACTCAGAGGACAGAAGTGCTGTGCCTAGCCAGAAAAATTAATCTTCTTCTGGGATGTGCATTCCCAGAACCTCAACTTCCATCACCTTCCTTGGAGTCACTTGTGTTTATCTGACCCCTTTGCAGAAACTAGGCAACCTTGCAGAAACTACATCAACAAAAATAATTACCAAAGGCTCAGCTGTGTTCTGCTTGCTTAATGAGCTGTGAGCTCAGAGAAAGGTCTGAGGGGCACTAGGGCTGGGACTGCACAGCTGCCATTGCAGGAAGGATATCTTCTCCAGACTGCAGCAAGCTGTGGCACTGGCATAGCTCCAGCTGACTGTGAGGGCTGGGGAAAGACATCTACAAGGGTAAGAAGCATGAGATTTATGGAACTGCCTACAGGAAGAGGCAAAATGAAAGGAGGTGGAAGGAGAAGACTACCCTGCACAAATCCACCTCTTTAAAGCCCCACTGACTCAAGCGGGATTTGTCAGACCTTTTCACCGGGCTGAACCCCAACTGGACCAACCCAACCTGCACTAAAATACCGGTGACATGCAATGCAGGGGGCTAGGGAGAAGGAGAGAGGTTTTCAGGCAATTAACACCAAGAGAGACTTCTGCTCTTGAAAATACCAAGTTACAGTATTTCTACCAATCTTCCCTCAAGAGTCACCTGAATTTCCGGACACATAGGCCGTCTGCAGCAGTCCTTCCCAGACTGATCACCAAAAAAGGAACCAGGACTGTTCCTCTGCAACAGTAGCCCATGTTCCTAAATAGTTTTTTATACAACAAAACACTTCCCTCTTCCCCAGCAGTGCTGAAAAATAGGCTGTCCCAACTTTTAAGATTACACTAAAAGTACTGAATCGTACGATGAAGATTAAAAAAAAACTGTTGAGAAATCCCACTTCAACTCAATCTTCCTGCCATCTGAATTTAGAGAGGAGAACAAAACCCGACTGTTCTAACACTCCTCCAAGGGACAGCCTCCTGTTTACACTGCCAGGGGCCATTGTACCACTGTCCACAGACACTGATTAAATTTAACTTAAAGGTCATTGTCACCTGTTACATTTCTCACTGCATCATGTTTGTGGGGGTCAATGAAACACGAATGCCTCTCCTTGGTTAAGACCCCTGAAAGCACAGGGCAGAATTGCTCAGCTGTCCGGAACAGCAGTGACCAGGAAGAACGTTTGATAATCAGTTACAGCTGGTGTATGAACAGCATAGCCTGCTTGGTCTTCAGAGGAAATTACCTGGCTGAAGTACCTCGGCAAGAAAAAGGGAGAACTCTTAACCAACAACTCTCTGCTCACACTACAAATATTTCCCATGAGCAATCAGAACTGAGATATCTATTAAAACTACCACAGCAAGTACTTATAATAGTCAAGAGACTTGTTTCTGAACAGGCCTTTTTCTGTAAGGGTCAGCAGCTGCTTTGCTTTGTAGAAGGGCCTCCAACTTCAAGATCTCGTTTCACAACCTTTTCTACATACTAAAAGAAGCTTTTCTTTTAGAAACACCTCCTTATTTCTTCAAAGCCAACAGAATGAACTGTTTCCTGACTCAATGCAGTGCACACACAAAGCCATTTTTCCTTAGAGGTATGTGACCATTGCTGTAAAATCAGTGACACAACCACACCCCAGGGCCGTGTACTGGGAACGTGACTGCAAAAAAGTGTTTGGGTCACGGCCCATTGAGTGTCTAATACAAAAACCTGCAGAAAAAGTGGGCTCTGTCTCCTGCTCTGCTCCAGCTGAGCAGCAGGTTCCCTTTGTGTGGGACACAGCCCTGCTTTACAGAGGATGTTACCTGGAGAGATACCCAGAGGTCAGAAACGGAAAAAGGATCTTTTGGAATGCAGTAGTTTAGCAATAAAGCTACAAGGATCAAAATCAAATACTGAAGTGCAGGCATACTTCAAAAGTGAATGAGTTCCTGAAAGAGCAGGCAAAGGGCAGGACTTGGGTCGTTGCTTCTATCACCCACCTGGATGTCCCGGGCTCGCTCGTAAGACTGATAGGCAATCTTTTCCTCCATGCTGGCCAGCTCCTGTTTTAAATTGAGAATCTCGTTCTGGTGGAGCTCAGTCAGGTCATTTAACTGCTCTTCAAGTCTTTCACATCTAGAAATGACAACACATGGTACAATGGCTTTAATGAGAAGAGGATGGCAAAATGACACCAGTGACAAACAAGCAATGAACACCATGGCTTGTGTCCTGAAACCAGCATGGCTGCCTCAGTCAGCACACAGCACATTCTAGCACTAATGCCCTCTTGCTGGGAATTCCTTCTTTCTACCAGGTAAACTCTGTGATATTGTTCCTAATCTGCAGAAAACACACAATTGCATGGTAACTGTTAAGTGATGCAAGAAATCGAGGACAGAATAAGAATAGAATGAGGTATTCACCAAACTTCTGTGTAAACCAAACAGTTCCCTTCTATAATACCATAAACTCCTAAGCATTTTTATCTACACTTGGAACAGTAATGGGCATAAAAATGACACGGAAATGACATGCGACTGATGCCTCAGAGAACACGGTGTTACTGTCTGATCTCTGCATGAGGTCACATGGATCTTTGATTTGCTTTTCCTTTATCTCCCACGAATGATGCAACTTAACAAGCAAATACCATCACATTATTTGTAAGAAGGACACATGAATCACTAACCCGCAGGCTTATTTTTCAGTTTGCTCCTGGTGAATGAACCAGGAGCAGTCCTGAGGAAGAGGGTTGCTTAAACAAATTGAGTTATAACAACTCAGAGAGATAAAGTTTTGCTTCTCCCTAAGAGAGTTATAAATTAACTGAAATGGTAGCTCTGATGGTAACAAAGGTATGGACACAGATGTGGTGGCCATTGGGCCTTTTCTACCATCTACTCATTGTAGCAGATGGAAAAAGTCCATGAATGAAGTTTACCACACAATCCTTATCATCTGAATCTTGATACTAATAACCAAGACATTTCTAAGGATATAACCACAGAGATAATTCCTTGTTTAAATTTTGGTTTTCTTTTGACTCCACTGAATTTAATTCCTACAAAAAACTCCCACAAGATGAGTAAGAAATATTTATCTAGAATGAAGAATTTAATTGCAAGTTCTGAAACTAAGACACAAATCCTGCTTCTCGTTTTTTTCAAGACTTTTTTTTGGGTTTTAGAATCTGTAGTCAAAAGCCAGCCTTTAAAAACAGTCTTAGTGTTTTGTTTTTAATAGACAAGTATGAAAAGAATTTTTGTTTATGTTCCTAATGCAATATTACTTTAAACTAAGGAGTCAGACACAGCATTTCTGACAGCATGATAATTTGCAGCAGTAAAATGCATGTGGTCAACCTGCAGTGAAACCAAGACAACTGCCGGCTGACAAGGCTGAGCCCAGAAAGGTGCCAGAAGAGCTCTGCAACTGTGCCGGGATACACCAGAACTGGTTTCCCAGGACTGACAGGGGAATGGCCATATGAAGACTGGCTAACAAAGAAGGAGCCCAGATAATTAATATTGCCCTTTGTTCCCACACGACTTAAAACTGACAACAAAACTTGCCAACAACCAAAAAATCACAACTAAACCCACTCCAAGCCCAAAAGGCAGCATCAATTACTTGAAACATATTCAGTTTGTTACTATATTACAAAATTCAGCAGTGTGTCTTTTACACAAAAAGAAACTTAAGCATTTCCGAAAATAGCATGATTGTATTTTTTAACCTCCTCTCACATAACACCTTTCATAAAGCAGCTGGTGCCAAACAGCTTAAATCCTGTTCTCTAACAGGAAACAATTGTATTTTAATAACTTCAAAACTACCTCAATCTACAGGAAACATAAGGAAACCCTGCTAATCTGTATAGTTAAGAGTTTAAACAGAACACGATTAGCAGAAGGGTTGGCTCCAGTCTTCCTGCCCTGAAGACTGCAGAACAACCAGCTCATTCCCAATCCACACTTCACTCCCTGCTCAACACCAGAACTGCTGCAGTTTGCATCCAAGAATCACCTGCATTTCCAGAACTCAAGGTGTCAGGCAACTGCTAGAACTGGGTTATTTAAAAAAAACCACACCCCTGCCCCCACTAACCTACCCTGACTTATTTTTTAAATGACACATCCTCCATTCAGCTTCTTTTCACTTCTTGTCCCAATATCTACAATTTAGAAAATTTTCTTCAGTGGCTTTCTACTGGTGTTCAAATTTACAAAGCACTTACGGGGCCCAGAACCAGGGTTTCCCTATTGAAAGCTGATTTGCATTTAAGTGGGAGTATTACACAAGTAAAAGGGATAGGCTACCTGTCAAGAGGGTTAAGATGAAATACATGCCTCTAATTCATCAGTGCCAGGGTCTACTGAACAAACTAAACTTGTCTGTGAATATAGCAGTGCCCTGAATAATCAAATCCCACTTCTCTTCATGTATGGAAAATGCCTCAAGGACTATTTTGTTACTATTTAAAATGTGAAATTTATCCTTAAAAGAATAAGGTCCAGCCCAGAAACATCTCTGTGCAGCAGACCAATGCTGCCTGTCACAAGTATCACAGAGATCATCAGACCTGTTCCTACGGACACAGTAAATAGCTGGGGTGCTTGGTTCAAGTGTGGGATATGGGAACACTTCATTTCAAACAGCCGTGTTGTATTTCCACATGTTTCTGAGGCTCACTGCGTGGGAGTTGAGAAAGTGGTCTGAAAAAGACTCGGAAACACAATTATGACCATCTCATTTTTTAAAAACAGCTTTAAGGCATTTTAAAGTAATAGTTGCAAAAGGCACAGCTAGCACAGCATATGGAAGGGAGGGATGTGATAAAAAAAGGCTTTGATCTGCACTCAGTGCTGTGGTGAGTAAAGAAACTCTGATCAAAGTAATGCTACAAAGACGTCTGCATTAGACTGTGAATGAAGTTTAGTACCTGTCTTCAAATGCCTCTCAAGATGGATCCTTTCCTTTTTATAGCTATGCCATACAAACCTTCATGTAATCTTTATTTTTCACTAAATACATCTTTATGCTACTGACCACAGTGCTTCCAATAGTGGAGTAAACAGGTAAAACCAGAAGTTATTTCTAGTATGCTCCAAGTCTTTGATCTGGCAGGACAGATGAAGGACAGAGCTTGCTCCCAACAGGGAGCACAAGCTGCTCGTGACACCCACACATATCCCTGTACTTCCAGCTCCGAGCCTCCCTGCAAGGAGGACAGACAGCTCTGCAGGGATGTTTTGGTGCTGTCCTGGCTGGGTGAGCACCACCATGCTGCTCCACTGCCTGGCCACACTCCAGAACAGCCTTGCCAACCCTCCCAGACCTCAGAGGTTTAGCTCCTCTGATCTGTTTTAAAACACATCATGAGCACAGACTGAATTGTGGCAATTAGACTACATTAGAACCCAGACAAATGGAAGCACCAGTGACTAGCCTTTAGGCTGAAGGTTTTCTTCTGACAGGAGCATGGGAGACCTAAATGCCCTTTCCAAGGCTGTCAGGCTTGGGAAGAAACCCAAAACCTTAGACTGGCCACACTCCAAATATGTGAGCTTATGGTTTTGCCATGTGCAAACAGGTTCCTGAAGAGACAAGCAAGATGAAAATACTCAGCAGGAACTTTATTTCAGTCTTGATAGCACAGAAAGTCCCTGCTCGTACCAGTAAACAACTGCCACCTTCCACTAATGAGATTAGCAACAAGCCATTCAGGCGCCTGCTCCGGGTGCAGAAGAAAACAATGATGGCCAAGCAGCGTCAGAGCCTTCCTTCCTCAGTGGCTCAGCCCCAGCGGAGCAGAGCAGTGCTCAAGGGCCACACGTGCTGGGCAGCACAGCCCACCCTGGCCCTGCCACGGGGCTGCCAGGCCTGCACCAGGGCGGGAGAACTGGAGCAGCTGGACAGGCGAGTCCCTGCCTCTGAGACTGGGCTTAGCAAACCGGTAGCCACAGGGATGGCAGACAAGATCGGGAAGCAAGGAGAGGGGAGGGGAGGAGGAGATGAAGGAGGTCATGGAAAACCTATGAGGCAAGCCATGGCTGATAAACAGAAACTGCACAAACAAAAACGGGAAAAAAGATCAGAATCTACATAACAGTAGACAATTTAAGAAAGAGGAAATGGATTAAGACCAGGTGAGAAAATGTCATGGCATGTTCATTCCAGCTTCCAGGTACAATGCAAGCACTCAGTGTCACCTGACAAGAAAAAGACTTCTCCAAAAACTTTTTTTTAAGCTCCAACTCAACTCTGTGTTTGTTTTTGAAAGCTTCCCATAAACAGAGCAGAGTTAGGAGATATTTACAACTTTAAAGACCAATTATGATTAATCTGAATCCTCAGCCTGCCAGCATTAAATCACAACTTCTTTTCCCTTCTTTTAGCTTTTTTCTGAAGAGAGCTGAGGAGCAAGACAGGTTCCAGTTGAAGGAACAGGCACCACACCTCCCTGCCAAGGCAGGAGCACCCTCTGCCCTTGGACACATTACATCACCGTCCACTTCTAAGGTGATGTTGGCTTTTATCATTGTGATAGTTCAAAATACAGAAGCTATAAAAACAAGAATCTACATGAGTCCTGTAGTCATCTAACTGTGATTAACCCATGAGCTCTTGCTGATCATGCAGTCACCCACACAGACAAGGGTGGTTTGACTGGTCCTTTTTAAAGGTCACACCTTTAATTAATTTGCATTAACATTCCAAATGACAGGTCTAAATTACTGTCTTAAGCTTTTATAAGCCAAATGCAGATTGTCCCTGCTTTTCACTCCAGGCTGCCCAGGTTAGTGCTTGGGGTCTGGGCTGACCTCAGGGGAGTGCTCTGCAAAGGTTAATGGCACATAACATAACAGATATGACTTCATGGTGAGCTAGTATGGGACCTATGTGAACCTTGCTCAGAGGTGCTGGGCAGTAAGCAGCCCGCTTAGCTGACAGCACACATCAGTCCCCAAGGTCTGCTATTGTACTTTCAGGCCACTCCTTCAGCTATGCTGTGCTTGCATTAGCGTTCCACCATGAATGGCTGCTGCTGTATGTGTGAAACAACAACCTACACAGCAACAGACAACAGCACCTCTCTCCTCTCTGAGGAGCAGAAGATCCATCCAGCTCTGCATTGCTTTGGGATGACTTGATGACACTGCGGCACAAGGAACCAAAGCTGCTGTGCTGGTTGCCGGTTTCAGTCAAACTGCTGATTATTACAAAGCAGGATTAGAAAGTAGTGTTGGTCTGGCTTTGTTTGCCCAAGCTCTGCAAAGCACATTGAGAGCCTGCTGTCTCTACCAGATCCTAGCAGGTTAGCCTTTTCCAGAGGTTTTTCTAATGATTTGGCATAAGCATGTCTAAAGAGCTGTAGGGCAACTCTATGTTACACTGCACAAACCAGTGCAGCAAGTGGCACAGGGCACTTCAGCAAGCCTGTACACACCCCCAGCAGCTCTGCTGTGCCTTTCAGGTTGTGTTTCACATCCTGGCAAAGCAATGAAGGCCATAAAGAACCTCATGACAACAGCGTACTGTCCTTCATCAGAAGGAGGGCTTGCGCTTTGCGTTTGTTATTTAAAGCTTAAGAATCCTGTCCGGGATGCCTGCAGAAGGGCAGCTAGTAACTCTTCCCGTCAGAGCCTGGAGTCAAGCCCTTGCTCCCAGCATGCGCGAGGGGGACATCAGGTGTTCGGCAGGACAGCACAGGGCAGTCTGCAGAGAGCCTCTCCTACCCTGCAAGGAAAGGGAAGTATTCCCTCAGTCCCTCTCCGTGGGCAGCTTTCCTCAGCAGGGAGGTGGGGGCAGCCGGCCAGGCCGCCTTTACTGAAGGCCACTGTCACCTCTCCCCTGCGACTTCATCAGGGATCAGCAGTCCTGCAGCAACTGCTCCACCTTTCCATTCCCTTCCAGTGAGGGGAAGACTCATGGAAACATAGGTCACCTGCTTCCAGTGCCCTCTAATCACAACAAGAGCACTGTCAGTATCTGACATTTAATTCAACTTCATTTCCCTGGGTGCTGCCACTGTGGACTGAGCAAAGAAGGGAAGGGGTATCTTAGTTTTGGCACATGGGCAAGATCATGTATTTTTAGAGAACTTGAAGAAAGCTGGAATGTTTCTTTCTCTGGTAGATATGGATCTGAGTGTTGGAGAAGGCAGGGTCAAGTCATGTCCACATTAGTTCCCTGTCATTTGTTTTGATCCAAATATTGTCAGGATTTTTTGCAGGGCAAAGCACTGTGTGATACCAGTAATTGCATCAACATACTACTCCTGGCTTTGGGACACCTTATTCAGCTTCACTTTCTATCTGGAAAACATTTTGAAATAACCTTTTTCCTTACAATCTCTTTATTGTACAGAGAGGGAGGTGAGCAGTAAGATAGAAATATTTATAAAAGGCAGAACTGGGAGGGAATAGTCCTGAGACGACCTCAGAACCATCCACTTGAATCAGGCTGCTGGGAACAGCCTGCCGAGCACTACCATCCACACCTCTGGTGCTTTGCAATCACAGCATTGGAATGTCAAACGAAGTACCACAGCACATACCTGTACCGCTCCTCCTGCAGGGTCTGCATTATCAACGTGTAATCCCTCTGGTAGCGAACCTTAAGGTCCTCAAATGATTCTTCCAGTCTTGCCTGTGTCTCTCGAATTTCTTGTATCTCATGCAGTATTGCATCAAACCCTGAGCTCTGCATATCCAGAGTGTTTGTTTTGGAGCTGGAAGCTCCCACAGGGCCTCCTGTTGTACTGTTGGCTCCCACCGAGCCTGATGTGGCACTGGAACAATCCTCTTCACTGCCATATTTTGGGCTTGACTGAAAGTTCTGAATAACACCTAGAGCCTTGCCACCTGTCCCATCTTCCTGGCCTTCTTCTAAGGAGTCTTTCAGATTAGCAATATTGTCTGCACTCCCAAACTTGTTCCTTATGAGGGAAGCAATCTCCCGGGGTTTGGAAACCACAGCTCCTGCTGCTGAATGTGTGGCCTGGGAGAAACTGGAAAGTCCACCTTTTACACTGTCAACCACTCCCTCACTGAAGCCAGTGACTTTTGCTCCAACGTCTTTCAAACCCTGATGCATATCCCTGAAGACATCCTTTGGCTGCCGAGGGATCCCATTCTGTTCAATCTCTCGCAGCTTTCGATGGTAATGTTCCAATTTCTTCTGCAGCTGCAAGATGGTCTGGGCTGACTTTTGATTTTTCTTCTCAAACACTTGCTTAATGCGGGCACTCTGCTGCTTGTCTGCATTGTTGGCCAATTTCAGGTACTCTGCCACGTTGTCATCACGGGCTGTTTGCTCGATTTTGATCTGCTCTGTCAGCTTCAGTATCTTCTGCTGCAGGTGTGTGATGGCCACTTTTGTCCGCTGCGGATCCGGGGTCCCATCAACGGAGTCTGCATTGATGCTGCCATCAGTGCTGGAGGCCACGGCACTGGAGGTCTGTGCCAAGCTGCTGACTTCCAATCGCTCGATCTAAGCACAGAGACAGAGAGAAACATGAGTGCTAATCAGCAGCTTCACCAACAGAAAAGCTTTCCTTCTTTATGCCAACCAATTCTGAAAAATTGTACCTTTTTTCAGCTGGCCAGGAGACAGTATCAATCAGGAGAGCTTCATATATTTTACAGAGATCCAGCAAAAGTTTAAAAAAAGCAAAACCTCTCATACTTGACTGCACTTAATCACCTCAAACAATTGAAAACTCAAGCACAAACGTGCAACAGGGCACCTCAGTTTGGCAGACCGAGCGCTCCAAGATATCAGTACAAGGGCAGGGGCTCAAGAGAGAGCGAAGAGACCAAGAAGGTAACTGAGAGCAGAAGTCACACGGTTTAACTGTACAGTACAGCACACCCCAGTCATTCCTAGTGCTTCACCTCTCTGAACAGCAGCAACAGTGAAACCTATAACCGATCTACTATGGTCAGAAAAATGGAGCCTGAGAGGCACCCTAATGCACACCTTGCCGCGGCAAACCCTGCGAGCAGGTGTCTCCGAGTGGGAGGAAAAAAGTGAGTTTCAAAAGACAAACCCCACGTATGGAGAAAAAAAAATAATAAAAAAGGTTATAGGCTGTTTCAGCGCAATCCACCCGCCAAGTACCCGCCGCGAACCCGCGAAGGACCAGGCAGGTGCGGCCGCACCGGCGGCTCCCGACCCGGACATGGCTCCCTGGAGCCGAGCGTGCCCCCCATCCCGGCCCGGCCCGCGGTGGGTGCTCCGGCGGAGGAGCGGCCGCCCCGCGGGGCCCGCGCGTACCTTGTCCCGGCGGGGCAGCAGCGCCCGCTCCCCGTGCATGGCTCCCGCCGGCCGCCCGCCGCCCGTGCATGGCTGCGCGCCCGCCGCGCCGCGGCCCCGCCCGCCCCCTCGCGGCACGGAGGCCTCGCCGGAGCCGCCCGCGTCCCGCAGGGAGCCTCCACCCCTGGTTTGGATCCCGCGGCCCCCGTCCCGGCGAGGAGCTGGGGAGCGGCCGCGATTGCTGCCCGCACGCTCCGCTCCCGCGGCTCGGCGGGACCAGCCGGCAGCTCCCCGGCTCGTTCCACTGACACAGCTGCCGGCCGACCCACCGCTACTGCCGGGTCGCAGAACCATGTCCGTGATTGGGAATACGCGCTTTACAAAACAAAAGTGCCGTTACACTTAACTGTAACCTCTCTCACGGTTCATCATTCCGTATTTAATGCAAAAAACCCCGCAGGCTGCAACACTGGCCGGCGCCGGGGGTTACCCGGGCTCCTTCCCATAACCCTAAGGTTCTCTGTTGCCCCATCAAGAGGAAAACCAGACACCTGGGGAAGCAACTGATTCATTTTCTACAGGAACTCAGCTGCTGGAAACTTCTATTATAAATAGAATATAATTTCTTGGTCTGTTGTGACTCCTGAAATATCAACTGCTTTCTCAAGAAGGTTGAGTTGTAGAAACCCTGGAGCTCTGGAGAGATCAATGGAAAATCGGTGCTAAGAATTAATATTAATCAGTGGGACCAACACTATACATGATATCAGTACTGCACATGTTGTCTCTGAGATGTAGGGACATGCATTTGCAAGTAATACACATTTGTAAAGACACCTCTTCTTGGAATTTGTAACTTCACTAACATTTTTCCAGGGCTGTCAGTGATCAGACTTCTCCCTATGGCCTAGACAAACACGAAGACTTGGCCTGTGCAGGGCATGCTTGGCCTGGGAGCATCACCCAGCACCCACGGCACAGCCGGGCCGTGCCTCGCCCAGAGAGCAGCGCTGCCAACCAGCCGCCACCCCACGAGCAGCACGGAGCATCTGTGCAGCACACCAGGACAATCATATTGCTGTTAACTGCCTATGAACCAACGGCTTCTCAATCCATTCTTAACAATCTCTACCTCCTCCAGACTGAGGACATTTTAGTATTTAATGACAGACGATGAAAACCAGAAAGATCCACAGTTTTGATGCAAAACTTCCACAATTTAATTTAATATAACTTTTTTTTTCTTTTTCTTTTCATAATTGATTTTTTTTTCTCCTCGGCAGTAGTAAGAGTGAGCGAGCATGGGACTGACCCAGTGTCTCAGAACCAAACAACAGCTCATCACCAGTTTTTCTGCAGCCCAGAGGCTCTGAGCTGAAATCTGCACAGATCAGTGTCACAGAACTACTGGGGCTTCAACACTACTTTGCAGTAAAGAGTTTCTATCAGCTTAATTTACTCCAGGTTTGGTATAATTAGTATGTGTGTATGGATAATTACCATAAATTACACCAATATAGTACACTCTTCCTCTCATGACACAAGTTTTGTGAGAGAAAAATTTGGCAGAAACTTTCTCTTCCCCACCTTTTAAAGTCAGTTGACTTCAGCAAATCTGCCCAGGTTATCTCCTTACACCTGTGGTAGAAAATGAACTAGAACAGCAGTAACAGAATAAACCAAGTTGGGATAATGCTTTATAATTACCAGCTGTGTGGATATTATTCGGAAATAACAAAAAGGGTTCTTTCCAATTCAAAAGGAAAAGGCTGAATAAGTGCAGTTCTGGAACAGAACTGAGATAATTTAAATACTTTGTCCATATCGACAAGGCTTTGTAAAGGGAAGACTAAGCACAAACTGGGTCCCTGGGAAATGCTGTTGACATATTATTTAATTTGAGATGATGGTCAATCTGTCCTGAAAAGATGCTGGTAAATTAAGTACTATAATGATCAATGTTTGTATAAGAATAGGGGTTAGAATTCAATAGCCAATCTCTCTTGCAATACAATTTTCCATAATATTTGACAGTCCAGTTAAGGGGAGCTGTGTGCCCTCCCACCAGGAGGTACACTGAGAACTGCTTTGGAATTATGCCACAAAGCAGGTGAAATCATGTGAGGGCCTTATGCTTTCTCTCTCTCAAGATCTTACCAAATTCTCAACTGTTAATGCTCTCAGGCTTTCCCTCCTGTACACGCTTTCCAATGTCTCGATTCTGCATCACACGGCCCAGAAAGCACCTCATGATTCTGCCTTTTGGTGCTGCTGAAGATTAAATACAGCAGTTCCTTTAAAGGTATTTCACCCTCCTAAAACTCCTCAGTAAAAGCACATACCGGTCATTCATAAAGAAGATGGATTGTTGCGTTTAAACACTCAGAGCAGCTGGCCTAAGCAAACAGCAGCTTTCAGAGCAAGCCTGCTGCAAGGGGGCAACTCCTGCTTCCTCCTCCCTCCCCTCGTGAAGCCTGGAGCTTCACAAGTGTGACTGAAAATTGTCATGCTACTTAAAATAAACACATGGAGGGCAAAGTGATTCAGGGGAGCTCAGAGTGAGACTGCACAGCCCCGGAAAGAAGCTAACAGCACCTGAGGTGCCTGGGCTAATCACCTTCCCAGTGACTGCACACCTGACTGGCAGCTAAAACTAACCATGAAAACATTCAGAATTTGTTTGGCTTCCTTTTCCCACTGTGCTGAAGGCAATACAGTCATACAGACAGAAAATCTATGAGACTCATAGAAAGTCATAGGTTTTAGACTTCCTGTTTGGAAACACCACTCAACAGCATCATTAGTGCATGGCAGGTGCAGGCTTGGGCATAGAGACTTGGCCAACCCCTCCACACGGGGCGGACAGATGGTCGCCAGCCTCAGGCAGGCACAGGAGCAGAGACTCAAAATCTCTGATGACAGTTAAAAGGGAGTTGGTTTGTTAGTAAGCAAGATCTCTAATCAATGCCTCAGAGGAAATAAAAATCACAGGGGAGAAAAAACCCCACCATTCTTTGTGCCCGACCACATCTGCAGAGTAAAAGCCCCCCCAGGCCCCATTTCATTGGATCTGCATTACCTAAGTGCACATTTGAATAAGCACACACAGAATCCCCAGCAGGTACAATGAAGAGATACTTAAACTTCACAACTTACTATGAGGTACCCATAACACATTAGATTAAGTGCCATCAACAATCACAAGTCACCTCCCTGCATGCCACCTGCAGCACATGACTCTTGAAACACATGGGTTGACGTGGCACCAGCCCCACTGTCTCATGAGCAGCCAATGTCCTGTTCCTCTGGATCCAACACAGTCATTGTATATGGCACAACTTACCGCAGGTCTCAAAGGAAACGAAAAAGTGTCACAAACTCTCCTGCCTCACCCACTTTGGTGATGCAATAAGCTCTTTATGACCTACACCTGATCTAGAATAAGAGTCTGTTTTTCTGATGCTTTGCTTTTTAAAGGTTGTTATTGAATCACAGATCAGTTGGGGTTGGAAGGGACCTCTGGAGTTTACCTGGTCCAACCTCCTCCTCAGGCAGGGCCACCAAGAGCCAGCAGTTGTCCAGGACCATGTCCAGAAAGCTTTTGAGTATCTCCCAGATACTACTTCCACATCCTGCATTTGTGGATCTGTCTGTCTGTTGCAACATTGCCACACGTCTGATACCAGCGACTCTGTGGGTCACTATTTACTTCTAGTTGAGTATTTCTGTGATTCCAAATCCTGCACAACAGCATATGTAAGGGAGAATATTTCTGTTCATTCATCTCTCAGGTAAATATAAACAGAAGATCTAAATACTGCTGCACTGAACCATCCCTAGGAACAACTGCTCATTCACATGTGGATTCATTTATAAATTACCTTCCACCTTCCTTCAGCAAGTGCTCAGGGTGCATATATGCTCCCGCTCTACAAAACAGCTGCCTTGGATTTACTGTCAAGAAAAAGGAAAAGCAAAAAACATGTCCAGTGTGATTCCTTGTGACACACTACAGTTATTCTGAAATACTGTATTGAGTGATTGAATCTTCAGAAGCTGCAGCAGCTTTGCTTTTTAACGGGCTCCAGCTACTCACCCACACAAACCTATGGTCATCCTTGACAGCAACTGTACTGAGGTGTCTCTAGCATGCTCCTAAATCCAAATCCAAATTAAACCTGGCTAAGGAAAGCACACAAACAGATGGACAGCTCAAGGAAGTCTTGCTGTGTGTT